AGTCTGTGTGCATTGCATTTATTTAATACACGAGTTTCACAATTTGAGTTGAATTACTGAAATAAATGAACTTTTCCACTACATTCTAATTTATTGAGATGCACCTGTATATGTGTGTGTACTGTGTATATTTATTATGTACAGGTGCATCTCAATAAATTAGAATGTCGTGGAAAAGTTTATTTATTTCAGTAATTCAACTCAAATTGTGAAACTTGTGTATTAAATAAATTCAATGCACACAGATTGAAGTAGTTTAAGTCTTTGGTTCTTTTAATTGTGGTGATTTTGGCTCACATTTAACAAAAACTCACCAATTCACTATCTCAACAAATTAGAATATGGTGACATGCCAATCAGCTAATCAACTCAAAACACCTGCAAAGGTTTCCTGAGCCTTCAAAATGGTCTCTCAGTTTGGTTCACTAGGCTACACAATCATGGGGAAGACTGCTGATCTGACAGTTGTCCAGAAGACAATCATTGACACCCTTCACAAGGAGGGTAAGCCACAAACATTCATTGTCAAAGAAGCTGGCTGTTCACAGAGTGCTGTATCCAAGTATGTTAACAGAAAGTTGAGTGGAAGGAAAAGGTGTGGAAGAAAAAGATGCACAACCAACCGAGAGAACCGCAGCCTTATGAGGATTGTCAAGCAAAATCGATTCAAGAATTTGAGTGAACTTCACAAGGAATGGACTGAGGCTGGGGTCAAGGCATCAAGAGCCACCACACACAGACGTGTCAAGGAATTTGGCTACAGTTGTCGTATTCCTCTTGTTAAGCTACTCCTGAACCACAGACAACGTCAGAGGCGTCTTACCTGGGCTAAGGAGAAGAAGAACTGGACTGTTGCCCAGTGGTCCAAAGTCCTCTTTTCAGATGAGAGCAAGTTTTGTATTTCATTTGGAAACCAAGGTCCTAGAGTCTGGAGGAAGGGTGGAGAAGCTCATAGCCCAAGTTGCTTGAAGTCCAGTGTTAAGTTTCCACAGTCTGTGATGATTTGGGGTGCAATGTCATCTGCTGGTGTTGGTCCATTGTGTTTTTTGAAAACCAGCGTCACTGCACCCGTTTACCAAGAAGTTTTGGAGCACTTCATGCTTCCTTCTGCTGACCAGCTTTTTGAAGATGCTGATTTCATTTTCCAGCAGGATTTGGTACCTGCCCACACTGCCAAAAGCACCAAAAGTTGGTTAAATGACCATGGTGTTGGTGTGCTTGACTGGCCAGCAAACTCACCAGACCTGAACCCCATAGAGAATCTATGGGGTATTGTCAAGAGGAAAATGAGAAACAAGAGACCAAAAAATGCAGATGAGCTGAAGGCCACTGTCAAAGAAACCTGGGCTTCCACCTCAGCAGAGCCAGAAACTGATCACCTCCATGCCACGCCGCATTGATGCAGTAATTCATGCAAAAGGAGCCCCTACCAAGTATTGAGTATATGTACAGTAAATGAACATACTTTCCAGAAGGAATGCTTTCCAACAATTCACTAAAAATGTTTTTTTTTTATTAGTCTTAAGTATTCTAATTTGTTGAGATAGTTAATTGGTGGGTTTTTGTTAAATGTGAGCCAAAATCATCACAATTAAAAGAACCAAAGACTTAAACTACTTCAGTCTGTGTGCATTGAATTTATTTAATACACGAGTTTCACAATTTGAGTTGAATTACTGAAATAAATGAACTTTTCCACGACATTCTAATTTATTGAGATGCACCTGTATGTCTTTTTTGCTAGCTGGATGAAACATCAACACTTCAAATGATTATTGTTGTGTTAATTACACATCTGGCATTTACTGCATTCTTACCTCATCCAAGCCTTTCCACTAGTTTGTTGGTGTAATATGAATTCGCTATAGCTACAGTTTCAGGTGAAGTTTACCCTGTAAATGATTTTAACAAATATCAAGCTTTTATTGGTCCTCAGCTTTAACACCCCATCGAGCTCAATGAAATGCTCCGTAAAGCACATGCAGGCTTGGAGACTTTCACTTGTTTCTGCCTTAAGGATCTTTGTAAAACAGCATAAACGTCGCCTTTTCCAGTCACCTTGGATGAGGGCAGGAGCCGAGAGAAAGAAAAATCTTATGCACATGTGATTCTTCAAATCACAGACAGGGCTTGAAAAACACTCTCATCCGTGCTAAACATTCCCATGGGCCCCAGCAGGCACATAACTGTAATATATAGCAAAATCATGCATTCAAGTAGATATCGGTGACGTGTCACACAGCTGGCCAGCAGAACTCTCTCACTACTATCAGATAGATGGTGCCTCATTTTAAACAGACTCTTAGAGCTTCATCAGACAATCATCAGACTGACAAATTATCTCCTTTCAGAGCCAGAGATCTCACGGATGAGACTCTACATGGGAGTCCTGTTCTCTACCTGCTGCAGGCGGAAGAATCCCCCTCTTCTGTGTAACGGGAGAGTCCTGAGAGGGTCATGGAATGTCAGTGATTAGGCCTGATTTCTGAAAATCAGTAACCGTGTGTTGATTCAGTTGCATCCGAATGTGCCCTGACTTCCAATGTGTTTTAGATGTAAATCATGTAAATAATAATATAAATATAATTATATTTAGAGACTGATTATCTGAAACTAACTAGTGTAATAAAGCATTTAGCTATAAAAAGCTTGAATGCAAGGTAAGTCGTTTTGGATAAAACCATCTGCTAAATGCATAAATGTAAATGTTAAAGTTCAAGTCTGTTTCTCTTTGTCCGCTTCTTTGTATGCTACCGTTCAAAGTTTTGGGTCAGTAAAATTTTTCGAGATTTTTTTTTTTAAAGAAGTCTCCTCGCCAAGGCTGCATTTATTTCATCAATGATACAGTAAAAAACAGTAACATTGGGAAATAATATTTCAATTAAAAAAATGTTTTCTTTTTTAATACATATTAAAATATATTTTATTTCTGTGATGGCAAAGCTGAATTTTCAGCAGTCATTACACCAGTCTTCAGCGTCACATGATCCTTCATATCAGAAACCATTCTAAAATGTTGATTAGGTGCTCAAGAAACACTTTGTAATGTTTTTATGGAAACTGATATTTATTTTTCAGGATTCTTTGATGAATAGAATGTTCAAAAGATCAGAATTTATTTAAAAACAGAAATCTTTTGTAACATAAATGTCTTCACTGCCACTTTTGATCAGTTCAGTTTATCCTTTCTGAACTATTAAACTATTTAAAAGTTTTACAGATCACAAACTTTTTGAATGGTAGAGTGTTTTGGAAAATTAAATATAATCATGAGCAAATGTGGAACTGAGAGAATGAGCTCTTATACAAGCATGTCTGCAAGCTCCATCATTTTTACTTATTTATTTTACTTTTTAATTAAATGGGCACTGGAGCTGCTGTAACAGGTGATTGACTGTGGAAGCATTGGAAATATGGAAAAACTGAATAAATGTACAGATGTTTTGGTTGTTCTTTTGTTTTGTGCTGTCATGCAGAACGTTGAATCATCTTTCCATTTTAACTTTCAGGCTGATGGCTAAAGGTTATACATGTAATTTTTACCATCCATCTTCCATCTAACCTGAAATTTTTCCCAGTCTCAACTAAAACATCCCTACATAAGGATACTGAAACGCTGCAATTTACTTTCATTGCATGGAACGGGTTTTCATACAGTATGAATGATCAGCAACACAGAGACTGTCCCAGATGCCTTCCAGTTCAGTCTCAACACATCTGGCTTCAGATGCAGGGCTGTGATGTACCATTGTTGGGTGTATTGTGTTGGAAGAGAAGAGTATTTTTAAAATAAAGAGAGACACTATTTAAAATTGATTACAGTTTGAAAAGGAAAAAAAAAGTTTGGCTAGCTTTTTTGCCTTTTAGAACCTGCAGTGCTCAGTGCTAGTAAAAGCATGCCTTCCTTTCAGCCCAAATGAGCATAATTGCATTCACTTCAAAGAATGATCTGTAATGCCTGATCTAATATAGATACAGCGTGTTGAGTTCCCCTCTGAAAGGTCTCCAGGAATGCTGTGTGTTTGATGGCTGCATAAACAGTCGGATGAGGTTTGGTAAAAGCATTCTCTTGATGTTAATCTGATAAATCATCATTGAGTCTCACAGTGAAAGGAGTCCTAATGCCATGCAGGGATAACACTCCCACAATTAGCTCTATTCAGACAGCTCCTCTGAAGTTTCAGATCTGATTTTCAGCGTTATTTCAAGTCAATGACTACTAGATGAGTAGACGAATGTGTTTCTGTCTGTGAGAAGAAAGAACCTGTGAGAGAAAATCACCATGCCTGATTTCAATCTCTGGACTTTTTAAGTCTCCAGGAGTGGCAGTTCCACTATGATGTCTATATGCATGTGTGTAGTTTCTTGTGTGTGTTTTCTTTTTAAGGCTCTTGACTGCTTATACAACATACAGTTATGTCTTACAAATAAAATTTTTTTTTTTTAAATCAAGCCCAGCCCTACTTTCAGCCGTTTCACTCAGATATAGGTCACAATAGGAAAAAGACACTCACAACTTCCATTTCATGTTGACTTTAGTAAGCACTGGCAAATACAGTATAAGTAAGCCATATGTAGAGTGACAGTGTAAATACTGTGGCACAAAAGCCTAAACCGAATGGTACTTTTCCAGGTCTGGATGACCAGTTGTTTTTATCTGTGAGTCAGAGTATTAGGAGACAAGATGCAGTTTCTCTTAGGTCAAAGCTAAAGAAAAGAAGCTCTGCTGAACCTTCACGGGCTGATTGAATGGCCAGACCACATTCACATATACCACTGTTGCAGTGATAGAAAGCACAGACTGGGACTGCATTGGTTTGGTAATAAGCTGCTCTGGGAATGAAAAGCTGGACCTAAAGGCTTTGTTGGAGAGCAATCGTGAAAATACAGCCATCCAACAAGACGCTGTTTTCCATAATGGTTGAGTGTAATTGGCTCAGAGTTTCTCCAAGTCCAATGACCCAGTGAGTATATATGAATATACATGTGCTAAATGTCTTTGGTGACTACAGTCCTTGTAGTCTGAGGCATACTGATCTAGCCAAGGACTAAATAGAATGATACAGAATGCCCTGCCCCAGCATCCTATTTTACTTGGAAATGTGTCAACACAGGAAAGGACATTGTAAAGCCATTTCACATAGTCTATAAAGACGCTCGTTGGAGAGCAATCGTGAAAATACAGCCATCCAACAAGACACTGTTTTCCATAATGGCTGAGTGTAATTGGCTCAGAGTTTCTCCAAGTCCAATGACCCAGTGAGTATATATGAATATACATGTGCTAAATGTCTTTGGTGACTACAGTCCTTGTAGTCTGAGGCATACTGATCTAGCCAAGGACTAAATAGAATGATACAGAATGCCCTGCCCCAGCATCCTATTTTACTTGGAAATGTGTCAACACAGGAAAGGACATTGTAAAGCCATTTCACATAGTCTATAAAGACGCTCTTGAAAGTCTGAAGCTGTTTTTTCATGCCCTAGTATTAGTGGTCCATGAAAACCACCTGGTAAGTTTGAGTTGGAAGAGGCCCACAGTAAGAACCAGTCAAAACCCCAAACATATTTCTATAGTTCTTGACAGTATGGTGGGATTTATGACCTTCCTCTCTCATCTTACCTTGTTTTTCTGCACGACATCTTTAACCTCGTTCGTATGGAGTTCAAATGAAGTATGTTAGAGAATTATAGCTGAATTGACCTCTGGGTCATCTTTGGCCTGTTATTGTATGTTTTGTTAGCTCCAGAGAATTCCCCAGACAAGTTCAGTGGCACCCATTACTGTGAAGACATGTCTTCTTAAGAGGGAGCATGCATGATGGGCTTAGATACACCCAGCGGGAGAATTTCTCACTCCGGCTCATTGCATGACAACAACATCCCCTCACCATCCTCTCACACATTGAGGGTCAGCTCCCTGAGGAGCTTCTTAATATGTTCACCTCCCTCTTTCTTTTATCTTGGTCTTTTTCTTGAAATATACAAGGCAAAAAGTCTACAAAGTTGTTCATTTATTTAAAGGGATCGTTCACCCAAAAATGGAAATTCTGTCATCTGCTCACTCTCATGGTGCTCCAAACCCATAAGACTTTGGTTAATCTTCAAAACACAATGAAGATATTTTTTTAATAAAACCTGAGAGGTTTCTGTCCTTCCATTGAAAGTTTAGGCAACCAAAACGTCAAAGATCCAAAAAAAGGTTATCAATGCATCATAAAATGAATCCATTTAAATCGAGCAGGTAAATAAAAACCTAGAATTTTAGAGGGGCAGAAATCTTTCAGGTTTCAATAGAAAATATCTGGAAACACTTTATAATAACTGCACGCTATGGATCATTAGTTAAGCATTAGTAAACAATTAATTCATCGTTTATAAATATTATCCCTACATTAATAAACATCAGTAAGCAGTTTATAAGTACAGTTATAAATGTTTTATTCTTGATTTATAATCATATCTATAATGTGTTTAATAATTGTATTTTCATACTTTATTAATGATCAATTTATCATTTCTAAATTAAGTATTACATTATTTACAAACCGGTTATTTAGGAGTTACCAGTGGTTCATAAGATCATTTAGAAAGTGTAAGTAAATGATTAATAATAAACTATTTGAATGTACATTTATATATCTTATTATTTAGACATATAGTAATAGTATGTTAAGAAATGCTTTATTAACACATATTCCTACTGTAATTCATGATTAATTCAGATAGTTATAAAACATTTAGTAGTTGTCAGTTAACTATTTTTGTGAGCTCATCTAAAGTGAGGGATATTTATGCCTCGTAAAGCTTTTACAAAGGAGACTTAAAGGCTCAGTTATCTTCTAAACAGAAAAAGGAAACAAACACAACAGTGATACAGAACATAGAAAATGTTATTTTAAGATGCAAAAAATTAAGCTGTACAACTGTTCACTTGATATAAAATGAAAAATAAACCTCTGCAATGTCATAAAAAAGGGAACTAAATAAGCAACAAAATAAAAAAAATAAAAAAAGGAACAACATAAGCAAGAAATTGAACAAAAAATAAGCAACAAAAATGATACACGTCAACAAAATAAGCAACAAAACTAACAACTATTTTGGCACTCCTGTAATCCAGTGTTGGCACTGGTAAATTTTTATTCAGTAATGTTTACACTTTACAGAAATGTATTTTTATATCAGATTGCAGAGGCTTAGTTTCATTTTACTGCACAGTTATGTTTTCTGGAGGTGTACAGGAATTTTTTTATTTTCTATGACATTGCAGAGGTTTATTTTTCATTGTAAATCAAATGTACAGTTGTACAGTTTAAGTTTTGCATCTTGAAATAAATATTTCTATGTTCTGTATCACTGTTGTGTTTGTTTCCTTTTTCTGTTTAGAAGATAACTACAGAAAAAGGAAACAAACACAACAGTGATACAGAACATAGAAAATGTTATTTTAAGATGCAAAAAATTAAGCTGTACAACTGTTCACTTGATATAAAATGAAAAATAAACCTCTGCAATGTCATAAAAAAGGGAACTAAATAAGCAACAAAATAAAAAAAATAAAAAAAGGAACAACATAAGCAAGAAATTGAACAAAAAATAAGCAACAAAAATGATACACGTCAACAAAATAAGCAACAAAACTAACAACTATTTTGGCACTCCTGTAATCCAGTGTTGGCACTGGTAAATTTTTATTCAGTAATGTTTACACTTTACAGAAATTTATTTTTATATCAGATTGCAGAGGCTTAGTTTCATTTTACTGCACAGTTATGTTTTCTGGAGGTGTACAGGAATTTTTTTATTTTCTATGACATTGCAGAGGTTTATTTTTCATTGTAAATCAAATGTACAGTTGTACAGTTTAAGTTTTGCATCTTGAAATAAATATTTCTATGTTCTGTATCACTGTTGTGTTTGTTTCCTTTTTCTGTTTAGAAGATAACTGAGCCTTTAAGTCTCCTTTGTAAAAGCTTTACAAGACATAAATATCCCTCACTTTAGATGAGCTCTCAAAAATAGTTATCTGACAACTACTAAATGTTTTATAACTACCTGAATTAATCATGAATTACAGTAGGAATATGTGTTAATAAAGCATTTCTTAACATACTATTACTATATGTCTAAATAATAAGATATATAAATGTACATTCAAATATGTATTTATAAACTGCTTATAGAGCTATAAATTACTAATGTCTATCATGTCTATGTAGGGACAATGCTTTCTAAATTATGAATTGACTATTTACTAATGCCTAACTAATGATTCATAGCTTGCAGTTATTATAGAGTGTTACCTAATACGTTCATTTGTGTTTCAAAGATTAACCTTAAGTCTTACGGGTTTTGAACAACATGAGGGTGAGTAAATGATTATAAATTATTTTTGGTAGTACATTTTTCATTGAGGAAAAATTGTATAGTCATGACAGTTACTAATGATTTCTTTGGTAGACTGGTTGATTTTGAAAGCATGTGTATTTACCTCAGTGAGGGTCATATTATCATTTGTCCAGTCCAACTTAAAGCATGTAATGCTGAAGTTCTAGCCAATTGGCGAGTAATTGTTTTCTTTACTCGGGAAAGCCAATTTTTACTCTAATTTGGCACTTGATGGGTACTAATTTTGTATTTTGGTTGACATAAGTAATGTGGTAGGACCCTAAAAGTCTAGGGTTCATGGTAAAAGGATACGGAGCTATCCAACAGAATGGCCTGAACCAACTGAATGACGCTCTATAAAAGTCAGACCAAACTAAATTAAGTCAGAAGAATAAGAGCAGGAAACCCCATCATCAACATGAATGAATGACTGTGTTGGCTGACATCAGAGTACGTTAGCATATGAACTCTTTGGAGTATAACGTGACACCATCAGCTCGCTCAGACAGACGGTGGACTTGGCCAATGTAAAGCCTCTGTGCATGGAGACCTCTGGGGTTTCAAACCCTACTTCTCCAAGGTTCTGCAGATGTGGCCGCCATTCAGAGCCCTGTTAATATGTAGTTGTCTGAATGACTCCCCACAGCCCTACAGCACAGCCAATGTTTTTCTCTGCCATTCTCATAATGCTTTAAGGTGATTTAAACCACAAGTTTGTCATATATGTCATATACAGTATGTAGAATGACTGTCACTGGCATATCAGAGCTGCCACTTCATCTTGTCTAACACTCAGACTCATTTTTTTTTTCACTCAAGAAGTCATTTTCTCAAACCAGACTGACATTAATGGAGCAGCTTTCACTCTCACGGTAAGGTTTCCAGAAAGGAAACTGAATGCACATGTTTGATAAGGAGAAAGACTGAGCATGCTGTTTTCATTGAGACCAAGCTGAATGCAAATAACTGAGAATCTATTTATAGCCTTCTATTATAAATGATATTCAGATCACAGATCTCTCTTTGATTTGTCATTAATATAATATATAATATAACACATACAATATATAAAATACATGGTCTGGTCAAATGAGGTAACAGAATAAACATGTAAGTTACTGTTTCTTCCCACTATATGTTTGCATCTTTGAACATGTTTTATAGTGTTGTCAAAAGTATGGAACTTGGTACCAACTTTGAAATTAACTGTTAACTGTTTAATAAAATTTCCAACAGTTTTTGCTTTCGTACCCAAATTTGTACTGAGACCCGTTAAATTTTACCGACATTCGTACCAAATACTGAAATTTTGGTATTGTGACAAGAGTAGTGCTTTGTAATGGTGATATTTTTTTGTCAATTCCACAAGGTGCTGTCAAGCTCAAGATCCTTCCTCTTTCTCATCTGGTTTTCTCTGGAATTTTTCTGAGGAGAGGCAATGAAGTGGAGATACGGTAGAGTTTGCTAACAGCATAATATATATTCTGAAGTAGTACCAACCAGTCCTTAGGAACAAAAATGCACAATATTTAATGCACAGTTCATGGTCTGGAAGGATTTAATTCGTGGCTGGCATCACAAATCCCTCTTATTTTTCTGCCCACTGCTAAACAGCAAACCTCTTTGATAATCCAGTCAGTTTCTC